CCACATTGGTTTTGCCAATGCGGGCGCCTTAGACGGGGCCCCGCATCGCTCCCTCCGATGCGATGCCGATGCACGCATCGCATCCGTTTCATCGTTGCAAATAAACTCCTGATACCGTCTTGTCTTGTCTCTGTTCCAGTGTTGCTTGGATGCACTTGTTCTTCTTGCATGCTTCTTACCAATATATACTTCACATATTGGGTTGTTGGTTGGGGTTATCGCCCTTATCACCTTCCTGATCATTTGCACCACTGTGCTACAAGAAAACAAACACTGATCAGGCTTTCCTATTTTTTTTTTCCTGGCACATTAACAACCCCCCCCCAAAAAAAAACACTGTTTCTGTACTGTACGGTTTGGTAAGTCAGTTCGTTGGCCACTGGCAGTAACTTGAAATGAATCATAAATGGGAGGGTTTTATGATCATCAGGCAATCATGAAGATTTGAATCATCAGTTTATAACTTCATCCCACTTTTCTAGGAATTCATTCAACCAATATCTTCACTTTATAGGAAATAACTGTTTGAGCTGTGAAATGATCTTGGGAGCAACGACTAGACAATATGATCTGCCAAAGCTTTTCTGTTGTTAATTGATGTCTTCAGAAATCATTTGAATGAGCTACCCCGTGGCTATTGGCGAGATCTACATTTGATAGCTAACACAGCTGGGGGAGGAAGATGGGAGCATCTTGGCTTGATTGTTGTAAAGGTGGGCTAGGTTGCCCCAATCATGATTCATGGTCTCATGAAGCACAGCCTTTTTGGCTGTAAACTGGTTGGGTGTCACTTTTTCCAACCAAATATCCATCCAGATTTGTACTAGAGGAAGGTCAACTCTTGGTTATCAAAACCATTCCACAAGCTTTTCCAGAAATGGACTGGCTTGAGTGTGGTTGTGTATTGGTGAGAACCCCCACGTCAAAAATGTTTGCACAAACCCTTTAACGGTTGGCTCAAGATCTTGAATATTCTGTCTTTTGAACGGAATCTGAACTGTCTCAAAAAACACTTTCTGTGCCCACTTCCCAGGGCAACATCCTCCGCTATTCAATTGTAAAGCTTTTGAAGCAGTCATCCTAACTGCTTCAAACATTTTTCCTGCACCTGGGGCCTGTGATGCAATGAATCAACAATGAGAAATGTGAGAGAAAAAAGACAAAATACAGCTTCAGAGATCCTGGCTGGTGTGGTTCTTTTAAAACTAATGGCCCCAATTCAATGATGTACACTACCATTAAGCATAACCTCCAAATGGTACATTTTGAATATGCAACTGGCCCTTACTCCCAGGATTAGTGAGGAGTAACTTCAATCCTGCTTAGCTCAAATCCGACTAGTACCTTGAGTAGTTTAGTCTGATTAACTTGGACCCAATATGGTTTAGTTACTGAATAGTTAAACCAATATTTACTTGAAACACAAACAGATTGGATGCTCCCAGGGCTACAGTTTGTGCTGGAGGTAAGATTTAAGACAAAAGACCTCAAAGAAAGGGGCCAGTGACTTATAATTGGATTTGATGATGAGAGAGAATTGAATAGTATCAGCATACCAACAGCACTGATCTGCTGTGCTCTCTGCCCAAGAACAAGAAGTGTGAGTTTGCCAGTGATCTCTTTATGTGAAAATCAAGTAGTGTTAATGGGTTTGTGCTATGTGCCTCTACAGGGCCAAAATGCCACTAACCAAGATGTTAGCACAGCACATCAGGAACATTCTAGGGGCCAGGACATGCAGCGAGGAATTTGGCTGTGCCACACTAAATTTGAGTGGAATTTGTGCTACACTTTATAGAACAAAGAGGCACAGAAAGTCTCTTCAAAGACCATGAGTGTTAGGACACAAACATCAGCTGAGATGACTCAGACAAATGGGCAAGCACACCTTCTAATTATGAAAAGACCAAAATTGTTAGGACACAAACACAAGCTAAGATGAGTGAGACAAACACATAGTTTTTAATTACTTATGAATATCAAATAACTAAGTATCAACTAGGTTTCAATGAGGTTTCAACACTCCAACTGTCTCTACAAAACCACTTGGAGGGTATGCTAATATGTAATGGGTTATATCAATAAGGGGGTTCTTGTTCTGCCAAAACTGTTTCTTATTTGAAACAAGGTTTGTCTACTGATATAAAATATTGGTTCATCTCTATTGTGGGGTCTTGCTTATAAAGGGGAGTCTTCTCATCAAGCCTTATCGCTCTCCAAGACATCAGCAAATTTGCATTTCAACAGGGTTTTACAGATGACATCAACATCAGCATTAGGTGAGTTGTCCTAATACACTGCACCAAACTAATGCTTCATTCAGCGTAGATGGAACAGCATTAATACCAATGAGATCAAAGCTGAGGTGCTAGATTAATTTGCAAGAAGTCAAAAGTTTAAATCTAAATACTTTTTTAAGTAGTAGAAACAAATAAAGCACAAGTCACTAGAGCTCTAATGATTTGATTTTGTGAAATAAATACCAGTAGAGGACTTCTTGTTTCCCCCTGTTTACTATCTGATTATCAGATCAACCACTGGGAGCAGCAACTTCAAGCCCCACTTCTGATAAATCTGTTAGTAGGATTCAAGGATCAAGACAATTTCAAAGCTTTCAAGGACTCTTCTTCAAGAGTTCAGGACAGAAACTCTAATTAGGCAAAATAATCAGGCACCTCACATTCAATTTAAATGCCAATCTCCCCTTCAGGCCAGTGTGCCCATTGTATCCCTCTGATGTAAACTTTTCAACCCTGTTCAGATTTTGAGGCTGCAGCTGGATGGTCCCCAAGATCAATCCAACCCTGAGGTCTGCTGGATTGAACCAGAAAACCTGTGGTTGGAGAAGAAGCCTAATCCTTCCTCAGGCCTAGTTTTCTCTGGCTAACAGAAATCTTGGATTGAAAAGCCCTCTTCCAAAGGAATTAATTAAATTTCCTATTTTGGCATTTGGTTATTGATTGAAAATTTGTTTTATTGTTTCTTACTGTCAGTGCAGTCAAGGCGCAGAAGTGAAAGAGCCTGACCAAGATGAGGTGCAACAAACAGCAGACCAAATTAGACAGATGGAGGTTGATCAGCTCATCTCATCTACCTATGTCCTATAAAAAAAATATGGGCTCAGAGAGCCAACCAAACTGCCATGCACTGGAATCAACCTCCAAATTCGCATTTCTTGACACCTACATTAGACCAAGACAGACAGGTGTGCAACTCAAAGAAAATCCATTATATTGGCGAGTAACCCCCCCCCCCCCCCTCCCCCCAAAAAAACATAAGATCATCAAGCAAAAGATAAAAAAAGGCCATCAACTAAAAAAACAACAACTGGGTCAAATCACCAAGCAAAACCATCCAAAAATGGAGGCAAATACTAGTGTTACATACAATGTCAACCCTTCCATGAATAATGGGCAGGTATACTAGCCTGGATGAAGCCCAGGAAGGCAAATAATAAATTGAAGAAGAAATAACAAAGACTGATGGGTTTGCCTTTTTTGTTTTGGTGCTCAAGTTCAATTGAGCAGCTAATTTGAACACAAGACCAAAAGTATTTTGCATGTTCCCAATGTGTGTGAGCTGAATATGTGGAAGATTAAAAGCTTGACTAGATGTATTGTTGAGATTTTTCTAGTGGCTGTGTGACCATCTGGGAATATTGCCCCCAGAGGTTGGTAATTGAACTTGCAGGGGATTTCCAGGGTGGTATCTCTAAAAGGTGGATGTGGCACGACGACCGGGTTGTGTTGGGTGGGTTGAGCCGAGTCTAGCTTAGCACAATCCCCTTGTTCCAGAGGGACGGGGAACCCGGCGTGCCAAAGGCACCTCGCGAAGCGACTCTCTGAAAGAGGGGCTTGCCAGCGAAGTGGAAACTTGGGCTGGTGAGCTGCTCAAATGGTGTGGCTTTTTGAGCACTTGTGGAGTGGATTGCCTGATTTCTCCCAAATGAGTAGGCGGAGAGACACATGATGAGGATTGTTGGATGCGCACGGATCTTGGCTTTTACTCGGCCTCCTTTCATGGATTGATCGCTCCAACAGATCGTTCATCTTTTGCTATCTAGCAAGCGACTTGAGTCTTTTGAGGAAATGACGGATAGCCATAATACCGTCATACTAGCTCAGTACAGAAACACCAACTTGTTTATTGAACAAGCTGTTCAATTCGTACAGATCCAAACATCTGTGTGTTGGAGGAAATATAATGGGAGTAATATGACGCTATAATAGGTTGTCAGGTCCTTTCAACTTTCTCTCAAGGAGAATTTTTTTTAATCTTATCAAGTGTTAAACTATCATGATCAAACCGCATACTGCCAGGAGGCCAAAGACGATCTCGACTACAAGAAGGCCTAAGAGATCCACTATCCCCCAAAAGCTAAAGGTACCGACTGCTCCTAAAAGACCGAAGATCAACCCGACAAGGAAGAGGATATGGACACCTACTGGCATCAACATCTATCAGGAAGTTTACAAGATGACCGACGAAAAACTGAAGGCACATATTGCCGAAACATCCCTCAAAAGCTACGGCCAGTGTGCAAAGGATCTGCAAGTTGATGCTGTGTTCAACCTCGTTCAAGGTCGGAACACTTTCTTGTTGGCTGGGACTGGATTCGGAAAGTCACGCATTGCCAAATTGTACATGAAGATGATTCCTCAGAATTCAAGAGGTGTTGTGGTTGTGTTGAATCCCTTGGACTCTCTGGGAGAAAATCAAGTGCTTGAGAAGAAACAGGCGGGCTTCTCTGCGATCAACTTAACCAAGCTGACCTTCAACCGAAAAGCGGCCGAGGAGATCAGCGACGGGGTCTATCAGTTTGTTTATCTCAGTCCAGAAATTTTTCTCAACAGCAAGCTCTTCCGGAAACTATACTACAGTTCAAGATTCCAGAACCGTCTCGCTCTGATTGTGATTGATGAGGCCCATATGATTTACATATGGGGCCTGGTAGAAGGTTCATCATCCAATAACTCAACCTCGGCGCATTTCCGGCACGAGGACTATTCGATCTTCCGTCCCTCATATGGCAAACTCGGCCCCCAACTTCTCTTTCGCAATGATAAACCCCTTTTGCTTTTATCAGCCACTTGTCGGCCAGTTGCAGTCGAGGCCATCAAGAAGAGCCTCAAACTGACGGATGCTACAGTAGATATCTTGCGAGGCAAGTTAACTCGACCGGAAATCCGTATTGTCCGATTACCAATGGCGCACTCACTGGCATCATCACTTGATGCCATCAAGGTCTTCCCCTCTTGTAAAGAAGTAGCCAACTGTGATATGGTCCCAAGTTTAGTTTATAGTGGATCACGTAATAGGACATCGACAGTTTTGGAAGTCATTGATTACGCTTGAGAAACCCCTGGTGGCGCCTTGATACCTGACAGTAACTGTGCCCGGCGATTTCACTCCTGCACTGGAGACGAGGATAAGATCACCTGTGTTGAAGATTTTGCGGCTGGGAATTATCCGGTCATCTCCTGCACCATGGCTCTCGGTCTTGGGCAGAATTGGAAGCGGGTGAGAATGGTTGTTCACATGGGTCGCGGGGATCCGGCATCTATACACATCATCCCTGACATGATTTCCCAGATGGGAAATCTTGTAAATTTTAGGGAAATCCTGTAAAAAAAGTTAAAGATTTTTCCAGATTTTTTAGATTTTTTCAGATTTTTTAGATTTTTCTAGATTTTTTAGATTTTTTAAATTTTTTAGATTTTTCCAGATTTTTCTGCAAGAGACATCTATAAAATTAAAAAAAAAATTAACCAGTCCAAAAAATCTGAAAAAATCTGAAAAAAAATCTAAAAAATCTGGAAAATTAGAAAGGGCCTTAATAAAAAAACCCGCATTTTCCGCGTTTTGACGCGCTTTTGCTGCGGCACAGCACACGCGCATTCCGCGTTTAAACCCGCATTTTTAATTAATTTTTTTTTGCCATTAATTTCGAGTTTTTTTGATTTTTTAAAATTTTTTCCTACACTTTGAAGGGTGTAGAATTTAATGGTAAAGTCCATTTACCATAAAAATGACTTTGATTTTTTTTTCTGCTTACTCATTTTTTCAATTAATTGTTAGCGGCTTGTTTTTCATTATTTTTTGACATTGTAAAGGTGTTTCCTACACTTTGAAAGGTGTAGAATTCAATGGTAATATTTATTTTGCATAAAAATGATTTTTATGCATTGTAATTTCTGTTCCCAGTAATTTTTCAATCAATTTTCAGCGGCCTGTTTTTAATTCTTTTTCGACTTTGTAAATTTGTTTCCTACACTTTGAAAGGTGTAGAATTCAATGGTAAAATTTATTTTGCATAAGAATGAATTTTATGCATTGGAATTTCCATTCCCACTCATTTTTCCTATTAATTGTTACCCACTTGTTTTTAATTCTTTTTTGACTTTGTAAATTTGTTTCCTACACTTTGAAAGGTGTAGAATTCAATGGTAAAATTTATTTTGCATAAGAATGAATTTTATGCATTGGAATTTCCATTCCCACTCATTTTTCCTATTAATTGTTACCCACTTGTTTTTAATTCTTTTTTGACTTTGTAAATTTGTTTCCTACACTTTGAAAGGTGTAGAATTGAATGGTAACATTTATTTTGCTTAAAAATGAGTTCTTTGCCTTTTAAGTTTGGCTCCCACTCATTTTATTGATGCAAGCACAGTGGAAAGTTCCCAGTGGTTATTCAACCTTCCGAACTTGAATTTCTCAATGGAAAAAAAGACACAAAATTCTATAATATTCTAATGAGGCCAAATTTAAATTTGCAAAAGAGTGTGGGAATAAACAAGTGTAGTTTGGATTTTAAAAGGGAGACAAGCAGGAAATCAGAGGAAGGTACGGAGAACAGTAATTCAAAAATTAATCAAGATCGACAGGAGCCTTTTTGAAGCGCGTAGATCTTCTGACAGGTGGGTACAAGACTTCTTGACCCAGTTCAACGTGGGCTTGAATATAATCCTCCCAACCCAGCGCTTCATCCCTGACATAGTGTCTCCAAAAAGGATCAATCCTGGGGCAAGGCCATATTTCAGCCTTGAAAGTGAAACTAATGAAATGAGAGAGGTCTGGTAAGAGGATCAGACAGATGGGAGGGTTGTTTCTCTGGGTATGCGAAAGAGGAAGATAAGTCGCAGGCATCTTTTCCGATAATAGAATAACTGGTCTTTGGTACGTATCGGCAATTAAATAACCATGCGCTGGGAACGTCATCCAGTACTATTCTCCAAGAAATTCTCGTCCGAATAGGCCTCGTTCGACTCAAATTCCTTCTGCATTTCCTTGCGGATTGAGTCCCATTCATCAGACTCACGTCCCAAGCTGACCGCAACCGCTTGGAAACCACAGTTCCCATCGCCTCTGACGTTGTGAACGTGTAAGATATGTGCAATTGCTCCAGCCGGCTTGATGCTGTCTTTGTGCTTATACTAACCAAAGTTTAAGAGGGAAACAGAGGGGATGAACAATGTGAAAAAGAAGTAAGTAGATGAGTTACTCACAAGGTCAATCTCCACATTCTCGTATGTACTCCAAGTCAGTGCCTCACTCAAAGGGGTTTTGTCAGCTTCGTCCACTTCAGTTATAGGTTCGGGAGTCTGCTTGACCGCTTTGATTGGCCTAATTCGCAAGGGGCTTCTTGACGGTAGAGGGAATAGGTTCTTCTTCGGAATGCTCCTCTTCGGTGAATATGTTTTCACATAGGGCTCCAATTTCATCTGAAGCTTCATCCTCACTCTCTCCATCTGTTTCCATGGCCTACGCAAAAATTAATCAGAATCAGGAAAGATCTTTAGAAGGATATAAGCAATGCACACCTCTGACTCATCTGTGTCATCCTTTTTTGCCGCTTTCTTCCTTGGTCGCCCAGGTTTGCGCTTGGGCCCCTCGTCCAATTTGGCCACCTTCTTTGGCCTGCCTCGTTTCTTCTTCTGCCCCTCGACATACTCAAATCCTGATGGGTCCCTCTTGGTTGATGACGTCGATTTGTGTTTCCGTTTGGAGCCTTTGGGTCGGCCCTTGAATCAATGGTTCTTGTCAAACTTGGGTTCCTCGAGTGGAATGATTGTATGTGTTCCGTCAAGCAGTTTGTGAATTTCGCCTAGCATGAAGTGTTGTTTGCCAGGTTGAAGGGATTGGAATTTTTCAAAGGCCTCGCTGAGGAACGCGTCTTCATGGCTCTTCTGCTGTGTCTCCGTGCCATCTTGGTTGTCACTAAGTTGCACCTGTCAAATGATCAGATGTGTGAACAAAATAAATCAGAATACATCTGCAAAATTTATGGGGATTCCATTGATAAATGAGGAACTTACGGCCAGATCAGTCTTGACATGCCACTGAGCATGGAAATTGTCTGCGGTGAACTTGGCTCCCTCAAGTGTGGTGTTGTGGACCTGATGGATGCACGGAATCCCCATGGAAGACGAGTAGTTACCTGTACATTTGGTCGTAGGTGCCTTGGCCACGTGAAATGAGTGAACAATCTTCATGGCAAAGTGGGAGATGATTCCATTAAGATTGGCAATTGACGGAGGAAGGCCGGTCAGTCTTTTGTACTGATGTTGGGCCGATTCGATGTATCTTTCATGCAGCTGGCTGTTGAGGGACTGGTGAATCTGCTTGACGACAGCGGCAAATGACCCTGTCGAGGAGTTGATGAATCTTTTGAGGTACGCGTGGAGACTTTCAACTCTGGATGTGATGTGATTTCCAAAGTGTGGGTGCCGATCGATCAAGTAAGAGACAAAGTGCTCCTTCAGCGGGAGGACTACCGAGATCAAGTAGGCGGCCGTATCTGGAGTCCACAATTTGGAGAGCTCGGTGTAATTCTCCTTGTACTCCTTCAATGTTGGCGACATTCTCAATCTCTTCCATGCTGATTCAAACGTTGACCATTTATCCTCGCTGTTGAAATGCTTCCAGCAATTCTTCTCGATGTTCTTCCAAATGTTCCAAGAGCACAGGATACGGTTGGCATTTGGGTAGACTTTCATGATCACATTTATGACCTCTTGTTCATGGTCGGTGACGATCACTGAGGGGGATTCTTTATCCATTGCTAGATGGAGATGCTCCAGGGCCCACGTATAATTTGGTTCCTTTTCAGCGGAGAGGAAACAAAAAGCGACTGAGAATGACCGATTGCATGAATTCATCCCAACTATATGAAGCAGGGGCTTGTTGAACTGTTTGTCTTATAAGTACAATCGAGAGGATCGTGGTTGGGAAGCGTTTGACTAATTCAAGTGAACGGGGGTGAGCGAAAAAGAACGAGGTCATGTGCCCTTCAACATTGTCGATCATGAAGTAAAACTGATGGTCCCGGATTTGTTGAACCAGAGCCTCAATCGGAGTGCGTCCTTGAAGCTGGTCAATGCGCATCTGGTTTCGGTGATTGTAAATTGTGTTGAGGGTGGCGTGCGACGGGTTATTTGTGTCTTGAATTAAAGCCGACTTAATCTTCAAGGGGGCGACACCGGCGTGCGTTAATTCTGTGACCTTTTCTTTTTGGGAATCAGTCAATCGTCTGTGAATCGGATGAATGTATGGATCCTCCGAAGCGGGGTGGTTGTGATTCGGTAGGTTCCCGTCCTCTTGTAGAAGTTGCCCAGCATTCGAAAGGGACAGCCGATCTTTTTGGACTTGCCCAACTTGTCTGGGTTTGGTTCATCCGGTTCGCCAGAACGGTCGCATTTAAAAGTCACCTGATCCTCCCCCCTCTGAGTTGTAGTGTTGGTCTTCTTGAGCGCATAGCCATGCTCCAACGCCCACTGTTGAACTGCGTCATCTAGTTGCGCCCGGGTCCTATACGATAACTCGGGAGGTGGCGCTAGCGAATGAAGACTGGCAGACAGAGTGGTTGACGGAGCAGCTGTAGGCGCAGTTTCCACAGGCGAGGTGACATTGTCTTGAGTTATACCGGGGAGGGGGTTAACGTCAGGAGTATCCTTGGCTGTCGCAGCCGAAAGAAGGAGGGGGTTGATGTGGCTTTGACTTTCAGACATGTTATCGAGGTGTTTGTTGAAGTTGAGTGATGATTTAAAAAAGACAAAGGGTTCAAAGAGGAAAATGGAGAATGTAGCCGTCAAAAGATTCAAGAAAGAATTTTTTTGATGGTTTTCAAGAAGAAATCGGTTGAGAGCCGGCTGAGTTAATCGGATAGGTAGTTTGAGTCCTACTAGCAATCGAGCAATGAATAACCAAGGACGGGAGGCCGGTCAGCACAAAAAGAGACAGTGGAGGTCGAGAGGATCAAGAAAGAAGATGATTGATGGCTTTCTTGAAGAAATCGGTCAAGAAACGGCTGAGTTATTCTGAGTTGGGGTTTGAGTCCTACTAGCGTTCCAGCGATGAATTAAAAAAAACGAGAGGTCCAGAGGCAAAAACGGAGACAGTGGCGGTGAAGAGAATCAAGAAAGCATATTATTAGTGTTTTGAATGAATAAAATGGTTGAGAAATGGCTGAGGTATTTAGAGTTGAAGTTTAAAACCTACTAGAGTTCCAGTGATGATTAAAAAAAAAAGAGAGGTCCAGCGGCAAAAAAGTAGATTGTGGCGGTGAAGTAGGTCAAGTAAGAAGAGGATTGATGATTTTCTTGAAGAATTTGGTTGAGGGATGACTGAGTTATTCAGAGTTGAAGTTTGAGTCCTACTAGTGTTCCAGCAATGATTAAAAAAAAACGAGAGGTCCAGCAGGCAAAAACGGAGACAGTGGCGGTCAAGAGGA